CCGGATTCTAGCGTTGTAAGTCCTCAGACATACCGCTGTGCCACTGGGGGGGATTATTTGAAAGGAGAGCTGAACTCATCTAATAAGTATCTTCTTTCAACGTGTGTGGTTTTTAGTTTAATTTTAAAAGGGATTTGATTATCTTAAGTGTAGTATAGAAACGTTGTATACAAAGTAGCAATCTCTATCCGTGGTATCAGCAAGGAAAGAAAGAAACGTTTAAGTTGAATTCGGTAATTAAAAGACATTATATGCATATTTTATTATACAAATACCGTGGATACATCAAGAATAATTAACTGTTTGGTGATAATGTGCGAAGTAAGTTCGATTTTTATTAAAGCTATCGAAAAGTGCATGTTGATTAATTTAAAAAATCATTTTTGAAGCAAAAATGGTGTTTTCAAAATTAGCACTCTTTGTGGAGTATCTATACAGATATACATTTCTAAAGAAAACACTGACATGAAAGTCACACGATACAATTAATTCTCAAACGCTTACTTGATAAACATATTTTGAAATTATAAAGATCAAGTAACAACAATGGGTTATTACCCTAGACTGAGAAGGTTACATTTGTCAGAAAAGGCGATAAAATTCGCGGAGCACAAAACTTAAATCCAAAGGACACTTAGATAGCATGTGCATTGATTATATTAAATGAGCAGAAACTGAAAATTAACACATTACTTAAACTTCAAGCAGTATTTCACTTCCTCATTGAGAAAGATAGATTGCAAAAATTAAAATAGTAATTCATGCAAACCTCAAGAAACTCTTGACAAAATAGTGCTTTTGTGCCTTGTAGAAATACAACATGCATAGAGTATCGCTGTCTTTCATTTATCAGCTAATTATAACATCGGACATCGGTGATTACCACAAGCCTGAATCATATTTATTATTCTTACTCTTTTATTGACAAAAATGATTTAGTACCATCAGATAGTATCACATTTTAAAAGGCTTCAATTCTGGACTTTAGAATGTATCGAGATCTAACAGGTGCCTACAGTTAGTTCACTGACAAGTAACTTGAACGACACTCCGAAACGTTCCATTTCTCAACGTTAACTTGAATTAAAAATTATATCTTAAATGTTTCATTGTAGGATTTCAAAACTTGTTTTTCTTTTCTTCGTTCACAATTAAAACCTGGGTTTCAGGAATGCTGTTGAGGCTTGTCGGAGTCAAGCTGCTGCTCTGGTTGCTCCGAGTGGTGGCACAACTTTCCTCTTCTGGCGACAGAGGTGGCCTCTGTACCGGGAGTGATTCACATTCTGCTGATTGGTCACCAGGAGGTGTAGGAATGGTGACGGACACAGCCATGGCGCAAAGGGAGTCTTTTGAAGCGCTCGCCAGATTAGGTCGTTTAATATGAGTTCCCTGTTGATCAGAGACAAATACCTTCACAAAACAAAGCAGGGCACCCATTCCGATGAATATCAGGCCTATTGTTTGAACCGTGCTTACTCCAGCGCCAACTCCCATGAAAACTAGGATCAACCCAGCTACTAACAATACGGTTCCTATGTAGATAAGTAATCTCAGTTTTTGCTGGTTATTTTCACACACGCTACCTCGGGACTTTCGGTACTTCATATCGAAATGATTTCCTGCCAAACTGGATACAGTGCTGATACTTTGCGTACGTGAACGTTTGGCGAACCCACGTCCCCGGGGCAAAGAAGCAACACTGCTATGAGAGCTCATAGCCTTACCTTTCTTCCTCTCCCGACGAACAGCAACAGCTGGCATGGCAGAGATCATCTTGAAACTAAGTTCAAAGAGATAAAGAACAATGGATTAGTTTCCTAAACTAGAAAATAACACATTCCTTATGAATATTCATGAAAACGAAAACCCAAAGATACATTTTTGAACTTAAGGGCTAGCCCACAATGTAGTATATATGCCAGCTAAAAACAAGGAACGCATTTCGAATTATGCCTTTAAAGTATATTTTTAAGGTAAACTTTCAACGTAAGGATACAAACAACAAAGTGACAGGCGTTAGACATTTATTGAAACTCAGATACGTAAAAAAAGATAAAAAAATACGAAAATTACTCATTCAAACAGAAAAGTATCCGAAGACACAACAAATTCATCCTCTTTCTTGAATCATAGGAGCAGGAAACAGGTTCCTACATTTATAACGTTGATGTTTTCTAGCATTTACATTATTCTGTCTAGATGATCGATAAGGTACTTGAACGTTTAGAATAGAAACATTAAGATAATTATAATAATCACGTTCCCTACACCAGCCATGTTCGGTCCTGGGCATCCATGAGGCCTTTGACGTTTGGAATTGAAATATTAGCAAAATTATAATTGCTGGGTATACGGCTGAAAATATCGCTAACGGCGAGGGTGTATCAGACTATTGAAACAATGTATTCTAATATCTATAAGTAATAACGTAAGAAAATTATATTTAATTAGGTATGATTATTACCTGATTGATTTTGAGTTTTGGGGGCGGTATAATGTGGTCAATCCCACTATTAGTTAGTAAAAGAATAGCCCAAGAGTTAGCGGTGGGTGGTGATGACTAACTTCCTTTCCTCTAGTCTTTCACTGCTAAATTAGGAACGGCTAGCGCAGATAGATTTGCGCGAAATTCCAACCGACTTTTAATTTCGATCTTTGGAGGAAGAGATCTTTCGTACTTGACCCTCCATGGTCTGTTAAGACCAAAATCCCCATCACGAAACTGAAGTTTCGATCTAAGTAGGCAGCTGGCTGTGATGTTAAATTAATACTAGTTACGGTTTTTAACACTCGCCATATTTTCCATTCTAACCGATCCACAAGGCCTTGAACGTTTAGAATAGAAACCGTAACACAATTATAACAATATTTTTTTCTACGTTTACAATGCTGCATCCTCTTGGATTACATACGAGTGTTTGGAATGGAAATCTTAGTATGGATTATACATATAAATTATAGAGCACGTTTATCTTTTAAACTATGAAAACTATCAAGGTGAAAAAAAAGAGGAAAGTACAAGTCCTCACGAAGTGTGATAATTTGTTCTAGTGCTTACACCATATTGTAAACCATACTGATATATGTCACATGAAATTTGGTAGAACTTAAACTGTGATGAAATCATATTTATGTTTCTGACGCGCATTCCAAATTTTGACTCTCTGGTTCTGTTTTGTCAAACAAACAGATTTAGAACAAATTTGTACTATCTATATCGACTGCTAATTTGTTAGCATTCCAAAATAAAGAATTAATGAACTGCTTAAGAGACAGGTGTGTTAATGGAATGTAACTCAATAACTAATAAATAGTTATACACGTATAATTTGATGCCAAGGGCAATAGAATTAACGGATAAATTATCACCCCTTCATATACGTTATAAGTATGATTCAATTTCTAAGTTTGTTCAAACTACAAAAGATCGTCTTACTAGTAAGACAATAATGAACGCTAAATAATTTGTTAGCACAAAACAGCAACAATAAAGAAATATCAAATAAACGCTCTACTATACGTTCGTATGTTTTAGAATTTCGTGCAATGCTACGCGATTAATATGTACAAATAGCCATCCCTAATTTTGAATTGATAGATTAGAGGGAAAGCATCTAGTCAACATTACCCACTTTTCGGTTACACTTTTCTCTGATCGAATAGTATTTGTTTTTGTTTGTTTTTCGTTTGCAGCAACAGGACTTAACTACGAAACATCGGATTCACAATCCATGTACGCTAACCACTATATCACACCCAGCGTATAGCCCAATCAATATCTGAATGTGAATCTGTATTAATACCCGATTAAGAATAATTCCACATAAAGTCTACAAATACCAATATACATGGAAAACTGTAAATAAACAGCGTATTGAAACGCTACAGTCTAAAGCTAAGTATCTGTTTGTTGTTAAAAGTCCATTTTGTCATCAAAGAAAGTTTCACCCTTCATATAGATGCGATGAGCTTATGAAGAAGTTTTGAAGTTCGTTTAACCACACTAACTCTGAAGCGTTAACACCAGATTTATAAGACATTATTTGGTTTTCTTCTTAGTAACTCCCGTCGACTAAGTTAACGTCTGTGACACAAAGAATTAAACGTAGTTCATATTATTGACGCTTTGGCCAGGTGGATAGTGCGCTCGACTCGCAATCTGAGGATCGCGGGTTCGAATCCCCGTCATACAAAACATGCTCGCCCTTTCAGCCGTGGGGGATATAATGTGACGATCAATCCCACTATTCGTTGGTAAAAGAGTAGCCCAAGAGTTGGCGGTGGGTGGTGATGACCCTCTAGTCTTACACTGCTAAATTAGGGACGGCTAGCGCAGATAGCCCTCGTGTAGCTTTGCGCGAGATTCAAAACAAACCAAACGCTTTGGTTACGTGTTCAATTTCAATTCAAGGCTTAGACGATTACGCTGATTGTGTTGTTTTTATTCGAAGAAATTCCATAGTCTTTAACTAAACGTTTTTAGAAAAATTAAATAGCTTTGCAAAAGAGAACAGTACAACATCTAGGAGCCAATAGAATCCCTTTTCAGCTGTACATTCAATCTCTTTCTTTCTCTCTTTATGCATATTCATTGTACATATATAGTTGATAAATAGAAAATTACCCCCCCCCCCACGTATTTTTAAGATTGTATTTTTCAAAAAGCATATTTACATTTCTTGTTTAAGAACACTAGGTTTTTTATGTAAATATATGTTTTTGTTTTCTATGTTTCGAAATATCAAAGGTTGCATATAATTAATGAAACAAGCAACATGGCAATAATAATTTCTCTCTTATACCGCCGTCGCGTGCGGAGTTGCGAATGTGGACGTGCGCGTGTGATTTTTTTTACGTCATGTTTGATATACACTATCTATTTTCTGCTCTATGTTACGCTAAGTAAAATCAGCCTGAGATCTTCCCTTCTGTAATCGTCAGAAGTAAAATTACGTTGTAACTACACTAACAGGAAATTACACATTAGACCAAGAGTTGCGAGAACTATTCCTCGTTAACATACACCAGAGAAGCCTGAACGAGATTTATTTATCACGTGATGTTGTCTTACACAAGTGTATGACGTTCATAAAAGAAACCTTATTTTTGGGTTGAGTCGTAACTAAGTGTTATCAAGCTATTAACAATACGGATATCTACCAAATATTTACTGCTGATGATGTTCAGTTTTGTGAAGTACGTAAAAACTCCATCAGTCAACACTTCGTGTCAAAAAATCTGAAAAAGTAGGCACAGCACATATAGCCCATTGTGAAACTTTTTAGTTCACAACAAACAAAGCAAATTGTATATTACAAGTTAATTACAAAAATTGTACACTAATTGCCTCTTTACATTCTTTTGTAAATCTTACGCTATATCTAATTACTTGAATGCTTCTAGACCTTTCCTTCTCTTACTTACTAAAGTATTTTATTTAACTAAGTAAACTAAAGTAAAAAGTGCTTTAAATCATATACAAAACTTTCACAGTCCTGTAATTTTTATAGCATCAAAAACTCTTTGACAAGTTATTGAAATTTCATTTTTGTTTCACTAAGTGTTTGTAAATTTTATTTGAACAGTTACAAAAGAAAATTTTATGTGAGGCTTTTTGAAAATAATTGATATTTTTATATAGCTGCATGTTTTTCAAGTTTCATGGATTTTCTGAAACAAATTGAAAGTTCATTTATTACGTTAAAGATAAACGTTTCGAATTTAATGCTGACGTTTTAATATTGTTTGTGTAAAAAATATTTATTGGTACTAACTTACGTTGCTGTTGGAAAAACACTGGATACCGTTTTTTCCAAAAACGTAAAGCAAATCTCGTGATAATTTATATCACCGGTAAGTAAGTTTTTTAATTTTTAGTATAGCTACACAAGAATTATCTGAGTATAATCATCCTTAAGTTTCAGTTGGTATAGTAGAGTGAAGACAGCTAGTCAACACCACCCTGCCCCTCAGTGGCACAGCGGTATGTCTACGGACTTACAACGCTAGAAACCGGATTTTAGATACCCGTGATGGGCAGACCACAGATAGCCCATTGTGTAGCTTTGCGCTTAACTACAAGCAAACATAATTTATGATACCAACTAAAGTAAATTTAGTGTCATCTATTGACAACTTTGTTAATTATTGATCAATTATTGAACTAATATGAAAAACAAATGTGTACAAGAAATTGTTTGTTTTGAATTTCGCGCAAAGCTACACGAGGGTTATCTGCGCTAGCCGTCCCTAATTTAGCAGTGTAAGACTAGAGCTAGTCATCACCACCCACCGCTAACTCTTGGGCTACTTTTTTACCAACGAATAGTGGGATTGACCGTAACCTTATAACGCCCCCACGACTGAAAGGGCGAGCATGTTTGGTGGGACGGGGATTCGAACCCGTGACCCTCAGATTACGAGTCGAGCGCCCTTACCACCTGGCCATGCCGGGCCCTGTGTACAAGCGATCAAACAATAATCGTTCAGCTCACAAGGCTCCCCGTGGGTCAGCGGTAAGTTTACGGACTTACAACGCTAAAATCTTGGGTTTGATTTCTCGCAGTGGACGGAGTACTGATAGCCTATTGTGTAACTTTGTGCTGAAAAACAACAACTCACAAAGCAACACTAGATTAAATCTATTATTGACAGTATGTGTTTCGTTTTTTTCAAACTGGAATCTAGTTTAAAAAAATGTAAAAACGCTATTATTTAAGTTTTGAATATCGTAAAAAAATAAGAGTTTTATAGAAACGATATCTAAAAATTTTTACTTCA